GTGTATATAGAGAACTCAACTAGACTAACTTCTATAAAAGAAATGTACAAGTTTTACATAAAATATCTTTGAAACATAAGACTTTCAAGATACACAAAGTTTCATGATCGAAATTCGAAAATCTGAGATCCAGAAACTAGACATATGAACAATTCGATAGCTTAGTCGAATCTCAATAGGAACTCAAATCTTTGAGAGTTTGTATTAGAACATTAGATAGTATAATCATTGAAATCAGAAAGAGACAATTAAAGAGGTTGCCTTGTACGTGTGACCTTTTTCATCATGTACCGTGAAGTGCGTGTCAATTAAGTATTCTGACGCAAATATTTCGTTATTAAGATTAAGCTGATAATAGGCGAAACTGCTTATTTTGCCCGATGATCTGAACAAAGAGTTCTATTGCATGCATCATTTGCTTTTCTTCAGATTAAAATAAAGCTGAGTTGTATGTCGACTGAAGGCAATTACTTAATCGAGAGTGAAGGCTACCTCTTCAGAGTTATGGTTCTCTTTTGATTAAGTTAAGATGTATTACATGTCATCAATAGACAAGTTCAGATAAATCTCAGTTATCTCTCCTAATTTTTCTGCTTAATATTTAGCAGCAAAACTTGTCATATATATTTTTTGTAAAGAATTAAATCATGAATAAGTTACAACGATGAATGTTGACTGTGATATTTATTCTGGTATGTATTCGTTAAAAAACTTACGATATGCACAAATTTTATCTTGAATAGCATAACGACGTTCACGTTCTAATTCACGTAATAAACGATTTCTAGTTGCTTCATTTAAATGTGCTGTATGTGTACGACGACATTGTAAACGACGGAGTGATCGTTGACCACGAACATATCGTTCATAGAGTCTATGAAATTTTGTATTTAAAAAAAAAAATTAAAAAATAATTTTTCATAAAAGTGTTTGTTTTCTACTTTCGATCTTTTTGTTCTTCAAGCATATGTCGATGATGTCGAGCAAGTAGATCATCATAATTATCATCATTATTTATTGATGAATTTTCATCTTCACTATCATTCTCTACTTGACGCCATTTTGGTACTAGAAAAGAAAAAAAAGATAATTATTTTATTCAATATATCATATATATTTTATTACTAGTTTCATGAATAGTTAATGAAGCTTTTTTTTCTTTAACAACTGGTGTTAAACGTAAACTATGACGACGCTTTTCCTGATTGATTACAGAATTCGAATGACGAGGTTTGGATTTTTTAGTCCTGAAATTTAAAAAAAAACCAAAATTTCTTTTATCTGATGATGAAAAGAAAAGATAACTAACACTCGAGATGTTAATATTGAAGGAGATTTTTTGTTTTTTGTTATAAGTTGAGGTTTAATTGATTGAATACGAAGATTATAACGCGGTTTCATTCGATAAAAAACGTTTTTTTTTAATAAACAGAGAAACCTCTAATCAGACAGTCAATATTTGACACGGTAAAATTTCTACGTGTATAGAACAAAAAGAAAACAGTAAACAATAGGTGACAACCATTTATGTTGACAAATATTTTGTTTATCCAATAAATTTTTTTGTTATATAACTTTGTATTTTATAATGAAAAAATGATGAAGTTTTTTTTATTTAAATTTGAAAATCAATTTTATTTTTTCATTTATATTATTTCGATATATTAGTGACATCTATAGAGCAATAGAAATATTCAAATATAATTTTAATGTTTCGTCGTAAAGAGAAGAGAATAGGTTTTCAATATTGTCATTCACTTATATGCAAACAAGAGGTTAATAAGTATTATTTTTGCGTAGTAATGAAGTTATTCATAGGAATCTTTGCACGCATAATATATATTTCCATATGAAACTTGAAAATGGTTGATGTTAGTGAACAAGAAAGAACATCCTTTTTGGTTAGCAAATTACACTTAATATTTTAGTGTCTGTCATTGTTTTTGTTCGCTAAAAATATTTTAGGATCTAAGCTGTAAAATAATTATTGCATAAAATATATCAAAAGAATTTTTCCAAATATATTTTATGTAATTATCTTCAAGTACTGTTTGAAGATTATAAAAATAAAATTCTTAATCCCATTGTAAATGGTGTGTAAAAAGAAACGAAATGTTCTTCAATTTGCATACGTCAATAATCATATTGTTATTAAATTCATATATATGTATATATCTTCAATCTTTATACATCGCATCAACATCATGATTATCTTCATTTACTTTCATTCCCTAAGATAATTAAACATCCGGTATTTAATAAAATAGTGTTTCAGGATACAAATTATTCATGTGTCTAATTTTATTTTAAAATTAAATGCACGCATACAATATATCCTATAATGCATGTCAGGTTTAGCATAAATACATTATATTATAGGAACATTCAAGCGTTGGTTTTTATTATATTTTAGTTTGTCTGTTCTTAATGGAAGGAAAAAAAAGTTTGATGAGAACAAGAGAGAAAAGACGAGAGAAAGAAATATAGACCATAAAAGAGAAAGGCACTCAAAAACATTCTAAATAGTTTCATTTGGACAATAAGACAAGTATTGTTGTGTCGACATTATATTGTAAGTAAAAAATTATATACCAGTAGAAGAATTTGAAGTTTTTATATCCAATGGCCCAGTTATTGTTTTTTGTTTCTTGTTGAAAACAAAATTGAATAGTGTGTTTTCTTTTTATTGATTTAAAAAATCATACAACTATTCTTTTTATCGATTGATAAAGTTAAGTGAAAGAAAAACACTATGAATGATTCTATAGTTTTGAAAAATTTTTCTTCACTTCAAGCAAGAACGCGTTAGGCGTTAAAAAAAAATAAAATATTAAATAAAAAAAAATTTTTATTGTTTCATAAAAATTTATGGTATCTTTTGATCTTTGATGAAACCTAGCAACAAACATTTGTTTTTCATCTATTTCATCATAATACTTATTGAAATGTCATTAAAAAGAAAAAGAAACAAAGAAAGAAAGAAATATATCAGCGTAGAAACTGATCAAAGAAATTAACTTTTATTATTTTTCTTTAATTATAGCTTGACAACCTAATAGTTAATTATTATTTGAATATTACTGTTTATATACTGTTTGATTTTGTTTTTCCTTTTAGGTATTAAGTATTTATTATAATAAATAAAGTATATAGATGTTACTGTGAAGACATTTATTTCTGTCCTCAAGATAAAAGAATACTCAGTGGGTGTTATTCCGCTACACTGACAGCAGCTTATTTGTTTCATATTTTAAAACCATATTACTTTGAATGCGCCACACTTCTTCGATTGTCTGTTTGAATAATATAATTTGACAGAAAAGCGGTAAGATATGATGTTATTGAATTGTCTTAGAGATTTAAAAAAAAACAAAAAGTAAGTTCAATAGAAGTTTAATTCTTCTCGTAAGTATAAGATTATTCCTATGAGTATGATCAATACTCATTAGAATTTCTTAAATTAATAAATGACAAATCGTATTGTTCATGCTTAATCATATTCAGAACTACATTCATCCAAATGGAAACTTTTAGCAAAGTGGTCTGAAGAATGTTCTATACTGAATAGCAATTCTATATTCATAGTAACTTGATTGCACAACGAGAAATGTGATAGAACATTCCAGAAATTAATTCGTTTACTATCGTAGTTGAGACAGTCTAAGAACATGCTAAACATATTGTTTGAATCTTTCTGTTAATAATTATTATGTGTGCTGATCGATCGTATCGAAACACATCTGTCAAACGGAAAACTACGAAGTGTGGCGCAATAAGGCAATAACAAATTATCAAAAGTATAGGACTAACGCGAGAGAAGCGTTCTAAGCAAATTAGAGCTTTTATATTGATATTTTTTATCATAAGTAGGATACCATGAGATTAGAAAAAGATTAATAGGATAAAGGGCATCGATTTTTCTTTCAGAGTTACGACTGTTTTATTAGATTTATCAGTTATCACATGAAATTTAATGAAAACTCAAAGTACAAAATTTTTATCTGAAATGTCCTCCACATAAAAATCTCGTGATCCTTTTAGTGTCATAAATGTCACAATCAAAATGATATACTTCTTTCTTGAGATAGTGAGATTTCAAAAAAAAAAAAAGCCGATTTTCTTGACATGTGGTACTCTGCGAATGTTTTTCTAAGGATCAATATTTCTAGTATGAAGCATTCATGTTGATTGCGACATTCCGATCACTACTATTAAGATCATGAGATTTATATATGGCGAATATTTCAGATTGAAACTACGTACTTTGAATTTTCCGTAAATCTCTTGTTATAAAATGATCATAACTCGGGACGAAAAACTTATTAACCCTTATCCCTTTAAGTTGTTTGTAGTCTCATTGAGTCATACTGATGGAAAAAATATCAATGCAAATGCTTTGATTTACTTTCAGCAATTCTCTCGTGAACCATTTCAATCTCTAATTACTGATAGATTTATCTTAAACATAATTTGACTTCTTTCAAAATATGAATCTCTTTCCCTACAGAATGAAAACATGACTTATCTTCTAATTTTTAAGCACTTCTTTGACTTTTTCTATTTTTAGTGTTTGTTTTCTTTCTGAGTACTATGTCTGTTGATAACATTTTAGTAATTATGAATTGACACTTATTTCATTATATATTTCTTCTTCTCATAAACTATTTAAATAGTATATGTCATTCATGATTAATTATGAAAATGTCAGTTAAGTTTTTGCCATCTTCTTTATGATAATCAGAGACATCTACTATAAAATATAATTAATATGAATCGATAGATGGTAAACCAATCATTGTACATTTCACACGTTAACTCTTTCGCCTCCCGTTTTGTTTATTTTCTTTTCCTACATTATGATTGACATTCAAATGACTAGCATCTGATTAATCGTATGATTTATTTTCGTTTCAGTCTTATTTATTAATCTTACAGCAACGATAAATATCGTGTTTTTCAATTTTTTTGTATTTTGCTGAAAAGTAAAAAGCTAATTAAAAATGAGTGCATCAACTACAAGTAACAGTAATACAACTGAAGCATCATCTATGATACCTGAAGATGAAGATCTGAAAATGTTTCAAGCAGCAAGAAGAACTGGTCGACGAAATGCTCTTGGTGATCTGAGTGAACAATTGACAAAAGGTGAATTTTATTTCTATAACAAAAAGATTTTCATTTAAATAAATTATTTTTACTAGTCGATCGTGGTATGTCATCGTCAGAAGCTGATAAAATGGCACCTCATTTCCAGTCAATGTCAATTAAACATTAATTTTTAAAAAATCTTTAGCAATAAACATGCTGATGTACATATATGTTGTTCGTGCTGTGATGAATAATAGCAAATGTCTTCTTGTTTCTTTTTTTTTTTTAATTGTTTTTAAACAGCAAAAAACAATCCATGACTCTCTCTTCCTTTGAAAATGTTTTTTTTTTCTAATGTATCCGAATAATAATTAAAACACATTCAAGCTTGTTTTCTTTTCCATTGTTTTTTAAAGTTACATGGGTGTATTTTTCTTTTTTTTTAAATAATGATCCATGTCTTGGAAAGTAATATTTGGGTTTGACTGATGTCTATTGACATCGAGTATAAAGAAGCATATTTGATGGATAATTTGTTTGTTTTTTTAGATGATATTACTATAATAAAAAAAAAAAAAAAGAAAAATTATTCAAATTGAGAGAATAATAGAAATATTTATTTTTTGTGTTTCGATATTTAATTGATGGCGGTTTGTATTAATTAATTGACAGTTATAACTATTCGATAGATATGATTGTTTTTTTTTTTTATTTATTTTTCTATAGTTTGATCTCGTTCGAAAACGTCTAACGAAAGAACTTAAATTATTAACAGAAAATCCAACACCGGGGATGTATGTATTGTTATTCTTTTTGTTTTTAATAAAATTATCTTTGAATTAAAATTTTGTTTTTATAGTCGAGTAGTAGAAGATTTTGCTGATATGCGAAAGTAAGAGTATAGTCTTTTCTATTTATCAATTTATATGTGCTTTTTTTTCTAATCATAGAATTCGAATTGATATTGAAGGTGCACCAGGAACATTATATGATGGTGAAAAATTTCAATTATTATTTAAATTTTCTGATCAATATCCATTTGATTCACCACAAGTAACAAAAAAACAAAAATAAATATATAAATAAATAGATAGATTTTTATTTATTTATTTATTTATTCAGGTTACTTTCATTGGTTCTAACATTCCACTTCATCCACATATTTATTCAAATGGTCATATATGTCTATCAATTTTAACCGATGATTGGTCACCAGCATTGAGTATTAATGCTGTTTGTCTTAGTATTTTATCTATGCTTTCAAGTTGCAAAGATAAGGTATAATTTCATGTTTCTTTGAAAATTTATATTTAATTGAATGTACTTGTCTATTGATTACATGTATTTACATAAACTATCATATGGTAGAAATGTAATTTGATACTATCAAACAACTATTTTCTATTGATCCAATGATGAAATACTTTGAATTTTTCTCTTGAGGGGATATCATGTAACAATTATCATGGTTAGTATCAATCATTCATAAGATAAACGAAATGATTCATTTCTCTGGTTTACTGATAACCTTGACAAAACTATCTGGACTCCGAACCTACCTCAATTAGTTCCATCATATTATTATAAGTATACAATATTAAACGAAATCACTCATCTTCCAGATATGCTCTGATGAAGACTAGTAGAGTATATTGATAATATCTGCTAGTTAAGTCCAGCTATTATTTATTTGAGTAGACTATACTGAAGTACATGTGAACGCTTGTTGACTATCTAAGACTTGCTCAGATCTCAATGACGTTCATTGTTATATTATACATTTATAGTATTTAATCAAACTATGTTCTTTTCGATGGGCATTGTAACTAATTACGAAAGAATCGCTTCAGTTACTTCTTTCCGATTGCATTGATTATACTAGATTGTGTTCTAATAAAATCGCTAAAATGATTTCGGTTCCTATTGAATTTTGATTAATCTATCGGATTTTCTTCGAGAGACTCTAGGTCTTCGGAAAACTTATATTTTCGAAATTTGATCTAAAACTTTGCATATATAAAGAACTCAATTGAACAAGTTCCCATAAAAAAGTTCAGAAGTTTTATATAAAGTCTCTATATGTATGAAATTTCAAATCAATATTCGAAAATATGAATTTTTCGAAGGCCTAGGACTTCTCGAAAAAAATTCTATAGTTTAGTCAAATCTCAATATGAATCCAAATTCTTTAAGAGATTTTATTATAACACTATGTAGTATAATCATTGTTGAAATCATAAGAGAACAGCTGAAGAGGTTCCCTTGTTAGTACAGTCTATTGATAACATCAGTCAATTATACGCAATCGTACGTTTTATATGGAGCAATTCAAAATATATGTGAATACCGAATGGTGATGTATGATTTCAAAAGCCTTGAAAATAAGAGAATGATTAGATCATGAAAAAAAAAACTAAATAATATAATACGAATTAACTGCTGTTCTATTTCTTATTCTTGAAAATAAGTCTTCACATGCTCATGCTAAACTAATAACAACTTCGTGAATTATATTTATTCTGTCAATTAGGGTCTATACGAATCTCAGATAGGTAACAAGTGGTAGTCATAAAACTGATCGTGGTAAGATTAATATACAAATTGAACTGAAAACATTATTCGATGATGTAAAAAATATAACTATACAAATTCGTTTTGAACATATAATACATCATTCATAATAAGTACATGTCTATAAATAAAAACATTTGGGAATGATGAATTAAAAATTGTATAACATAATGTAATAATTCAATTTTGATTAGTTAATTTCCTTGATTATTTTATTTCTAATCAATATTGATTTAAGAAAGAACAAAATAAATATTAACATACTATAAACAATTGAACCAAAGAAAAAAAAAACGAAGAAATTTTTGTGTGTAGAACATTCTAACATATAAGTAAATAATGTTTGCTTGATTATTCTTTTTCTTTTTTTTCATCATATTCAATCAGAATATTTACAATCATTTTATGTCAAGTATGATTGATTATATTTTAGAGTCGTCCACCTGATAATGATTGGTATGTTCGTACAGCATCTAATGATCCCAAAAAGACACGTTGGTGGTATCATGATGATGCTGTTTAATATTGTAACAATAAATATTTTTCTTTCTTGTATATGTATATATAAATATATAAATCTGATGGATTTAAACAGGTAAACAAATACTTTATTTGTAAATAAAAAACCAAAAATATTTTTATGTTTTTCTTTTTAAGAAAAAATAAAATACAAAATGGTTGTACAATTTCGAACAGTGCAATGATTATCATCAGAAAAGCTTTTATGTGAACCTATTCTTCTTCTTTTTTCATTTTATCTTTTGTTGTTCATGTGAATATTTTCATGATCTATCCTTTTGAAAAAAAAAAAATAAAGAAAAATATAAACTTCTCTTTTTTTTCTCGTCTTCTTTGTTGTGCCATAAAGCACACTATTTAAAAACGTGTGATGTTATCTGATCCATTGTTCCTTTTTATCTTGTCTCCCTCGTTTTCTTCTTCTTTTTTTCCCTCTTTATATCATTTCAAGATTAATTTACACATATAGGTTTCTTTCGATCGATGATATTGAATGGAAGTAAGAATGAAAAAACAAAACATTGATTATTTTAGAATAAGAATGAATGGATGATAAACGATTAGTTGATCATTTTGCACTTATTGGTGTTGGAAGTACAGGTCCCATTGAACGTGATGAATTAATTCCAACAGCATCATCACCAACAACAGATACATCTATACAACTATCACCTAAAACATATGATTTAACACCACAACATCAACAACCAATTGTTGATTTAGCTATTATTGATCGTACACATGGAGAAGATCCACCAGCTGGTTATGAAACAATATGGACAACTCCAAATAATTTTTCAGCTAATCTTAATCATAGTGGATTACGTAATCATGAAATGTATTTATGTATTAGACGTGGACGTGATAAACCACCAATAACAGATATTGGAGTTTTATTTGAAGGAAGAGAAAAAGTTATGGAAAATGTTTCAGTCATTGAAACAACACCACATGGATATCCAGCTAGTATATTTAGCTCATATAATAGAGAACGTACATTAATTACATATCGACGAGCTGCTTCAATGATTTTATGCAATACTTTAGCTGTTACAGATATTTGTGTTATTATGGAAAGCAGGGTATGAAAAAATTTGCATTTAAATATGTAGAAAAACTAGTTGAGAATGGTTCAAAATAATTTTTTTCTAATATTTTTAAACGAGTTGAAGTTTACTAGTTTTTCATATCTTTTGTGAAAATTATAGATTTTCAATTTCAATCTTGATATATTTCTATAAATCAAAAAATTTATTTTTGTCAATTCGATACATGAAATTGTTCGTGAAGAAATCTCTAATATATGATTCAATATGTATTCACCTCCTTTTTTCTACGAAATATGTCAAATCTTGTTTTTAAAAAGCTTTCCTAATCTTTAATCGATAGAATTTTCATTGTTTTTTTTTTTTTGTTAAACATTGTTTTTCTTTTAGGGTGAAACTCCTCCACATTCATTTAATAAAATAAATAAAAATTTAAATCGTTCAATGTTTGGTTCAAACATCTATCTTTGTTATAAAAAATCTGTTATTTATCCCATACGTATTCAATATCGTCCACGTATTCTTTATACGTTTCCACCAACAGATGATAATCCATATTATACATTTCCTGATAAAACTCCTCTTTTTTGTTTTCCAATGGGTGCATTTATTGAACGATGGCCATCAAAAGTAGCATTACAAAGTGTTGCACCAATATTTTCAACATTTCTATTATCACATACGAAACAATATGGTGCTTGTATATCATTCTATGAATTATTTAATGCATATGATCGTTTATTATTAACAAATAATGATTTAATTAATCGTTTAGATATTGATAATGATCATTTATATGCATCAACATGTGTTGTCATTTTTTCACGTCATCCATTTTTTGATACACTACGACGATTTTTATTTATAATATATCAATTAATTGTTTCATCGGGTATGACAACATCAAATAATAATCAATTAATTGACCATATACCATTAATTGAACAGTATTTAAAACATTTTTTTTATCATGTACCATTTCCATCACCATCAAAACCGAGAATATTTGTGCAATATGATGAACCATTATTAATTGTTTTACCAGAAGATC